AATATTTTTTCGTCGCACTCATTACGTGGCAAGAGTTCAAATGGAAATGTGTTCTCTGAGCATTTATGGGTTAATGTGACGTGGTATACACCATATGAATATCGTTTTCTGTTACTTTTAAGACAATTACGACAAATATTAACAATTTAAGAAAAAAACTTTTAAAAAAAAAAATTTCGCAGACCTGTGAATTGATTAATATTACGATTCGTTAATATATGGATAACAAGGGTTGTGCAATCAATTTTATCAATTTTTATAGATTTTAGCCACATCGACATTTAACCCTAGATGGAGGGCTTTTCCAAGATAGATTTTCTAAAGTAATGTTGAAAGTAATTCGAAATAATTCGATGTGAAAAAAACTATCAATTGTTATTACAAAAGTCTATCAAAATTAATTTGGATTTTCTCTCAATATCAACATAGATGGTCTGGATGCATTGCATTAATAATATGATTGTTTATTCAATAAAAATGAAAGTTCAGACAGTCATTTGCAGAAAGTGCAACTGTTCTAAATTTTCATTCACGTTTTCTTCCGTCCATTGTTTTGCTGCTTGACTCGCAGTAAGAATTAAGAGTGAAGAGCCTTCATAAGCATAACAAACGACGTACTATGTTGGATCTGTTGAAATATTTATTCATTGAAGGCGAAACAGTTCGCACGTCCGAGCCTATTCATCCTCAGACTACTTTTAAAGCTTCTATTAATTATTTGAGTTAGACGGAATTAAAATTAAAAATAACAAAATTAGTCATTAGTCTATTTGGGCGTTAGGGTAATGATAATAACTTGTACAACATGAAAAAGGAAATTTGAAAACCTTATGAGTAATTATCCTGGACATATAAACAAAAATCTAAACGTACGTCAATATAAAATTGAAGTCCCTACATGTAATATCGAAATAGATGTTTTCTTTTCAAGCTGATGTGATTATTGTTTGTATCCTATTAGGGACCCTCAAAAAATATTTGTTTGTTTCGCTGTGTGTAGCGGTTAATCTATGAAAGGCCAAACCTATTTCGATGGAATTTTTTATATTTTTAAACGAGTCACATGTAATACACATATGTAGAATGGATTGCGTGGATTTTTCTCAAGTAGGTACTTATATTTAACGGTAATTGACATCAACTTTAGGTTAGGTTAGGTAAGGTGTATACAAGTAACTGTACAATATTGCAACTTGAATTGAAAATCTGTCTATAGTTATACATACAACAAATAAAGAATAGAACATTAGGTCTTTCTAGTAGTAGTTGTATCAATATTTTTTTCGTTTAAACGCGATTTGTTACAATTGACTTACCCTGAAGATGCGTTTTAAATAAAAAACAGTTTTTTGCCTCACTATTTCTCACTATAAAAAGACACCTACCTGTACAGTAAACTTGTTGTTCATCTTCAACTGGCACAATGGTATAAAAAGAGGTAAAACTACAAAGATCTGATAGCAATTTCCTTTTATATGAGTTCTCAGTCAACAATAACACATTGTGCCCACTCTTTGTCTATGTGTAAGTCACTTATGCAACTCCACCGGGTGCAAGGCCATTTCGACAACATTTTGTTACAACCCCCAACTTCACACGACCGTCGACTTTTGTACTAAATTGTGTGAAAATTTTGTGCGTTACGATGAAAACTTAATTCGTTACAGTGTACTTAGTTGCCATTGTTCCATCAAACTCTAATCACATGTTGCATTTGAATTTGTAAGTGGAAGAGTACGACCACATACGTATTTAGAGACAAATTATAGACCAGTTTGTAATTATTTAATTAATTATTGAGTGTCATTGGTGTTTTAAATCGCTTGTAGAGTAATAACAACGTTTCACAATACCGAAAAATATTACGGTTACCACAAAAATCAGAGTCTTGACTTGTCTCGTGTGAGATACGAGACAATATAAAGATGAACAAGTCGAGAAAGTTGTTTGTCAAAACTGCTCTCTCAAGATTTTGGGTATATTAGGGTCTATCGGCGATTCACAAACAAAACAAAGTCAGGATGATGTAATTAAAATGTACATAAAAATGCATCAAATGTAATAACAGGTAATTTATTAATTTGCGCACTATTAATCTTATAGACGCGTATTTTTTTAGTTCAGTATTATTTCTATCTAAATTTTGGTACCTACTTTAGAATTCAAAGTCGGGATCAAGATTTGTTGAGGCAAAACTTGAATAAATGAGGGCAACATCAGGATCACGTTTGCAACATCAAGACAAGATTCGAATTTTCAATATTTTCGAATAATAGGAACGATATTTGTGCATGTTATCAGTCAACTCAGATATCTAGATAAAATATTTTTGCCTTCCTCAAACAAATTTATCCAGACATCTGGTAAGATTAAACTGCGAATTAGTATACCTAACCTAACCCTTAAGAGGTGCACAACATTAAAGAAAATAAACAGAAATTATTAAAAATAAATAAATGAGTATGAATTTGCTCTCAGTTTTACACAAGTAAATCTCTAGTACTAATTTTATTGATTAGTAATAGCGTTCAATATTTAATATTAATTATTATCTACTACAAATTACCTCAAATTAATGAGGAAAAATTGCTGCTGATGTTACGCCCTCGCCGTGAATCGAACCCGAGACCTTTGTCATTATGCGCCAGTGCTAGGCTGGGTTCGATTCCCGGCGAGGTTGCGACAGTTGCAAAATATTTTCTCATTTATTTGAGGTAAGTTTTAGCAGATAGCAATTAAATGTATATTCACATTAGCATTGGCACATAGTCATTAAATATAACTATAATACCTACATGTAAATAATACTTTATATGGATAATTTACTTCTTTTTAAACCATTTTCAACAATATTGTCAAAATTGTTAATCTTATCATATACAATCCTTCTTTAACTCGAATTATGCGATCTTCTGTTAGTTGACGACATTCCACAGATAGAGTTTAACGCATTGATTTATTTTTTTTTCCTGCGGTGTGGAATTTGCAGCAGCATAGAACTCTTTTGTTCTAAAACAGTAAATTTATTACTCTCCGAAACATTCAAATAACCAAGAGTGTGTTGTAATTTTGTACGATAATTAACGCTTGGGAAGTATGTTAATTGTATTCGCGAAAAAGGGTATTGTGAATTAAAATTTGATGGGGTTTTCACTGTATTAATGCGCCACAATGTGTTCCTACAATAACAAACGGGCAATAATTCTTTGTTAAATACCTTAATTTTGTGTCCTCTTCTGGTATATGTTGATAATTGAGATAATTTTGTGAAATATATATAGAGGGTTTGTCGCTTGATGTAGCATTGATGTTTCTGAAAAATATTTACTTAAAGCTTTAGCGTCAGGAATAGCCGCAGTTGTAATGTATCCACATTAGTAAAAAGGCAATTGGGTTATTGATTATTAAATTTAAACTTATAGTTTTTATTAAACTCATCCTGTAATTTTCACCAAGGTGTCGCCTTTAAAAATATTGAGTTTTTACTCTTAAATTCAAATGTGAATTTTCACCTGTGGTTATATAATTAACTTTGAACTTTTAAATGATTAATAGAATTGTGGTGAAAATTAACGTATTATAAGAATTACTTGTATATTAGCTAGCATTTTAATTTACTCTGAGCGGATGTTTAGGAGTCTATTCGAAAACTTAAACGCATACCGCACTGGAGAAATCTCGAACATTATAGGATATTTCAAACTGTTTGTAGAACATACTTATGTATGTAAAAATGTCAAATTTAGCGCTAGAACTCAAAGATGTTCGTCTTTGAACATTCCAGAACGTTTTCGATTCTTTGGGCTCACTTCACTCGAGAGCATTCTGCTGAGGACAACGTAGATATTTGAGAATATTCTAACTAAAAACCAACTTAGAAACATTAAGGAATATTCTAGTAGATATACTTTTTCTAAACGGGCGTTTGATGGCAGAGGGTCGACCCGCAAACCTACACACCAACACATCAAACTGGATAAATCTTCAAAACGTCGAAATTGCTTGACTTTGGTTGATTTACATTGTTTTCTATACAGTATTACACTCTATATAGCGTCACGCTCACTCTATTTAACGACAACAATGCGGCATTATAAATCATTGATCAGTACTTTCTAAGTTGCCGAAATAGATAAGAACTGCAGCTGTGTACGTTGTTGAAGAAGACGATCCGGTCCCTCCACCAAGCATCAAACAAGCACTTGATGCAGCGAAACTATTAAAAAGATACTTTTTATATAATCAAATTGATCCAGCAGTATCTCAAGATATGAGTAAGATACGTAACAAAATACAATTAAAATATTAGAGCAGCAAAAAACCTCAGGCGAAGATAACAGGCTATACGCAATATATGAATAATAATGTTCTTGTGCAAAATTTGTACTATATTAGTAAATGCATATTATTATGGAGTAGTAAAATAATATCTTTTATTTCTCTCCATTTAACGACCAATCTTTATAAGGCCGAAAAATGTTCAGTACCTTAAATGTCGTTATATAGAGTTTACACTGTATATATAAATGACAAATTTAGCGCCAGAATTTAAACATGTTGGTCTTCGAACATTCCAGAACGTCCTCGATTCTTTTGGTCCTTCACTCGAGAGCATTCAGCTGAAGACAAGCGTAGATATTCGAGAACATTCTAACTAAAAACCAACATGGAGAATATTCTAGTAGATATATTCTCACTTTTTCTAAAAAACTGGATAAATCTTCAACATTATAGGAAATTCCAAACAGTTTTTAGAACACTTTAGTTACAATATTTATATAAAAATGTCAAATTTAATGTCAAAAGCCAAGCATGTTGGTCTACAAACATTCCAAAATATTCTCGATTCTTCCGATCCACTTTACCCACTAAGGACAGTCGTATAGATATTCGAGAACATTCTAGCTAATACATCAAATATCGTCCTAATATGCCTTAATACAGTGTCAGAATTTATCCTCACCAGTCATACATAATACTTTTCGAATATTCTACAACGTTCTCGATTCTTCCAGTTCACTCTCGAACATTCTACCTGAGGAAAATGTTTGAATTTAGAATACATTCAGCAGAGGGCTACACTAGAAACAGTGAAGAACATTCAAATGTATTCTCACTTATTCTAGATGGTGGTTGATGAACAACCCGCAAACCCGCACGCCCATTAAACTGGAGTAATTTCAAGCATTATTTTATAAATATTGACTTACTAGGACACAAACATAGGGTTCCGATGTTCCTGGGAACGCAAGATTTATACCTTCATTTTACTAGGGCACAAAAAAAAGTGGCTGAACCTAATGTAATTTAAATCAACTTAACCCTTGGTGTAGTACGCATCATAAATGTAGACATTTATTTCTCCATTAACTATGACAACTGATGAACCATTTTTCTGGTGTCTTGAGGGTAAATATCAAGAAAATACGATATAATAAGCTTTGCTTTTATTACAAAATATATATACATTCGATATAACACGTAAAAAATATAAATACTGTTATTGGGCAGCATCTTATTCGTACATCTTATCAACGATGTCAAAGAGGAGTTCGTTAAAAATACACGAACAAATCTCCGACCAACCACATTTGAAAGCTTTGTCGATGAAGATGTACTCAAAGTCTACGTACAACATACATTCAAAAACACAATATTCGATTTATTATTCGTCGTCATATCATAAGAAGGGCGGTTTCAACTAATTATTTTATTTCGGTTAATCGCATTTAAAATCTACCACGGATGTCCGTAACCTTTTCCTAAGAAGCCGTGACCTGCACCACCACCAAGGTATCCGTGTCCAGCTCCGAGTCCTGCTCCGAGTCCTGCTCCGTATCCGGCCCCAGCAAATCCATGTCCAGCGGCAAGAGGTGCTGCTATTACGGGAGCAGCGTGAACAGGGGCGGCATGTAGTGATGGACCAATTTTCTTCACTACCGCGTTGAATCCGTTGACGTCATCAGCTGCATAGTCTACAACACGGACAGAACCATCGGGTTCCACCAAAGAATATTGTCCTTTAACGACTCCTCCATCTCGGACTTCGTGTTGCGATTTTTGGTCACCAGTTAGACCATCAGCTACTCCATAGTTGTAAGAATATTTGGGATAAGCCTACAAATAATCCAATGAAAAAGAATTAAAAAAATCTTAATCCAACTGATTTAAAAAGCATTAATATTATCAGTCTGTTTTGTCCCAGTATTGAGCTCAAGCAAGAATGAAATATTTTTTACCATTAAAAGGTAAATAGTTATGGATGTGGGTTGTTCTAGTTTTAGGGAATGGAAAGAGTAGAGGTAAGTGTCCAACCAGTCTTCACCTGACTGACGACCTTATGATGATGATGAAAAGGTTTTATAATTTTGTAAGCTTACGATAACAACGTTCTAATATTGAATAGAAATTCGTGAATAAGTGTTTGCAAAATAACGTTATGGTTTTTATAAAGCTTGACTGATTAAACAATACAGAATTACCGGAAGTACGTTTTTATTCTTTTGTTAAACACATTCGTTCCACCTTGATCGTGAACTTCAATTGTTCTACCTTTTTGATTGTTTAACTTCTACAAAATCAAAAATAACACAAATGAAGTGTCTAAAACAGAGAAGCAACATTTGCACAGTAAAAATAAAATGAAGAGGAACGAAGTAAAAATTAATGCTTGACCAAGAAAAAATGTTGATGGTTAGAATAAAAAATCATTTTGATGAATTATTTTGATACTTACGTAAGTGTCAAGTCCACCATGTCCTAAACCACCTAATGCTAAAGCTGGACCGGCACCAAAGACACCACCGTGCCCTAGAGCACTAGGACCTGCTATGTGCCCTACGCCTAAATGCCCCGCGCCATAGCCCAGATGTCCTGCACCACCAAAGCCCACATGTCCTGCACCACCAAAGCCCAAGGGTGCAACTGGCCCAGCTCCGCTAGAGTAACTGCTGGCTACTCCGCCTATTACACCCGCTTTGGTTGCAGCTACTGCTACGGCGAAGATAAATAACTGAAAAATAAAATTAAAATTTTAAATAAACAACCACCAAGAAGTTGAAATCCTTTGACATTGTTAGTTACTTAATAGTGGATAAATATGCAATATTAGTTTGAAACCATCTTTTTGATTTTTTATTTACCTCATTAATTTGAGGTAGTTTAGTGGTAGAACATTGGTGCGTAAAGCCAAAGGTCCCGGGTTCGATTCCCGGCGGGGGTTTGACAACAACAACAATTTTTCCTTCATTAATTTGAGGTAGTTTAGTGGTAGAACATTGGTGCGTAAAGCCAAAGGTCCCGGGTTCGATTCCCGGCGGGGGTTTGACAACAACAACAATTTTTCCTTCATTAATTTGAGGTAGTTTGTAGTGGGTAAATAAAAAATCGAAAAAATGGTTTCAAATTAATATTGCACCAAGAAGTTGATTTAAATATTCATTCAGGTTCTCGTCTGAAGAAACTAGATTTTCTGATTGTAACCGTGTCTTACTGATGAAATTTCCATGACGGATCATAGTGGCATCAAAAGTGTTCGACGTTTCGTCTCTTGTCATAAGGGATATCTTCAAGAAGTTCACGTTGTCGATGTAGGAACTATAGAAACGTAGAACACTTTCGATGCCATTTTGATCCATCATGAGCACCTTATCAGTGAAAAACGGTTACAATCCGGGAATCCAATTTCTTGTCGATCTTTTATACTTATAAGAAATAATACAGTATAAAAATTAGTTTTTATATGAAAAGATTTGAAAACAAAACGAAATCATGCAGCGACATCTATCATTTATGGGACAGTAGTGGGCTAAACTAAAAGTATTAATCTTAATGAATAATCAAAATCAGATAATATTCGGTTATGTGTTTGGTCTTTAATGGCTGTAAATTTCATAAAAATGGAAATATTACGAAATATAGCAAGTAAATGCGCTGAATAACCGGTGTAAGGCGCGTCAATGATTTTTATCTTCATGAAGGCATGGAGAAAAAATCACTGGACACGTCCAGCGACAAGATAACCGGACTGTGACGCGCTGTGGTAACAACATATATTTTATATACTTAATACGAAGCTATACTAACGTAGCAATTGTGACGACATTTGTTGTCACTTCGTGATATATCAAAGGAGGCCACGCCCTTTCACGACGACGTAATCGAGGAAACAACAGGCAATTAATTGCACACTGTTATCTATTATTATGCACACGACGGAGTACGTTATAAAATCTATATGAGTTGAACGTAATTTGTATTTAAATTATAGCTAACTAACTTTTCTACCAAGGATAACGGAATTAAATAAGGACACTGTATCATTGTTAAGGTTTTTATGTTTTTTACGATCTAGATAGGATGCGAAGGATTTATTTTCTACAATTTTGTTCAAAAAATAACAAAAGTTGTACATTATATTGGTTACAAAATTGTCTAAATCTTTTGAAATTTAAAAGTTTTAAATGAATTAGGAGATAACAATGGTAATATAAAGATTGCTATTGCTAATTGTCAAAACCGTTAATATTATTGGTGAAACCTAAAAATATAAGTAAAAGCAAAGGCATTTGAAATAGTTTCATAATTTTCTATTAAAAAGTATGAGGATAGTATTTTTTTGTGCTACGCGATTTCTTTGCCGGTTGTGTACCGATTTTAACAATTCCTTTTTTATTGCCGAGGCTAAACTTTAAAGATAATTCCATTTAAATTTGTTGAAAATATTCGACTTCTAAGGGTGAAAAATTAGGGGTTGGTTTCCGCTTTCAATTTTATAGTTTAAATTGGTACAGTAGGCAAAATAATCAAATAGATTTTTAAACGTAAATATATACCTAACAATTGTAAATTTATGTTACTTTACTTGCAATCTCTGCAATTTTTTTATAGTTCTGCACTTTTAATAATTAAAATAACAATAAAATGATACATCTGTTTTAGGTTTCACAAAAAGATTTATTAATCCTTTCTATAAAATTTTTTTAATAAATCTTATCGTATGACTAAAATCAAATCTTTTGTTGTACTGTTGTAATTTTTCGTCAAGTGCCAATTGATTATTTGTTCTATTTTGCCCATTCTCATAATATAATTACAGAAAACAAGGAAAACTAATTTTAAAAGATATTTGACTACTTACTTGTTTCAATGTTTTTTTATGACATATGCATAGTAATATATTGAGAGCTCGCATTTTTATTCAATTACGTTAAATAAAAATAGTACCCAAAATAAATTCATTAAATTTACACATTTCAGACAATGTTAAATGACTTAAAATTGATATAAGCAGGACAACGAGGATAATTGCCTATATTATTTTATTGATAACAGTCCCTAACCTTTTAATAAATTGATTAAAATTGAATAACTTTTTGAAGGAAATATATAGAAACTAAGACTTCTTATAAACCAGCATGATAAAACCGCGAATTTTAGAGACAAACATTTTATTTGAAAATCGGCAAATTACTTTAAAATTGCATGATTATTTAAAGATTATTATTATTTATCATTCATTATTTTTTTTATTTTACAACAAAATATTTGCAGACTTTCTTAACAGATAACGGTATCAAGTCGAGAAAAACTTATACCTGTGTACATTTTATACACTAAAGTAATAAAAGCCCAAACAGCCTAAGAAATAATTTAATTTAATAAAATTACACATTTCCACTACCCACTTAAAATCATGTTAAAGTTTTCTCTACCCGTTATACGGACAACCCCGTTAAGGAAATAAATACATAAGATACTCACTTGTGCAAAAACCATTTTAATGTTTATATTGTGGAATATCACTACCAATGTGAGGTCGATACTGGAGTTGCTGCCCATCTCGCACTATTTATACAAAGCACAAGCTCGCAGCTCACTCTTCGTCAAGGTCCTGACTTTTTGCACGAGTTTCAAAAATCGACCCCCATAGACGCGCTTTTCGATCCTACGATAGTTTTGCATAGAGTCGATAATGCTACGTCGTGGGTGATCACAGATTATCTCTATCGTTACAAATTATCACATGTGGAATTTTTTAATTAGGTACATGACGGAAAGCTCGCACTTGTTTTTCTTTATTTTACTTTAGATACGTATGGAAAAAGAAATTTGATATAATTTTTTTTAAAGACAGAATGAATAATTGTATCCATAGAAATACTTTTACTATTTGTAACATTTCATTTTGAGAGTGAAAGTATTAGTTTTTTTTAACGAAAAATGGGTCGTTTTAGTTTATTAAAAATACATTCTNTTCCTTATTTTACTTTAGATACGTATGGAAAAAGAAATTTGATATAATTTTTTTTAAAGACAGAATGAATAATTGTATCCATAGAAATACTTTTACTATTTGTAACATTTCATTTTGAGAGTGAAAGTATTAGTTTTTTTTAACGAAAAATGGGTCGTTTTAGTTTATTAAAAATAGAAGAATGTATTTTAATGAATTAAAAATATTGCATTTGGGCATATTTAAAAATCATATAAAACAGAATAAATAAAGAATTCCAGTAATCATCAACTCGAATCTTTTTAAAAAAATTAATATGCATATCGTTGGCAAAAATATATATGTATGAGTATTATATAAAAATTGCTGTCTATCGGATAGGTAATTAAAATTAATCTAAATTAACTAATTTTTACTGTAGCTTTCATTTTTATTACAATAGATAAAGGGTAAAAATATTTTTAATATGGCGTTTCGTTATTAATAATGGAATAAATATATGTATATGTATCAGTTGCACTTACTTTGAGTTCAATTTTTCTCTGTGTGCCTATACCTAATTAAATTATTCATAATCATATTCATTTATTGTGATATTAAAAAAAATGTGTAATTAACAACCATCAAGGAGATATTCTCAATTTCCATATTCTCAATTATCAATAACAACAATAATACAGTTAACCATCTCGATTAAGTTAAGTCAGTTTGTATATAGTGTAAATACATTATTAAATGTATATACCATAAAAAAGGCTATCATTCTGTCTCAAAATCTACATCAAGCAAAACTACCCTAATCGTAGTAAAATATTGTTAGGGAATTAAAACNAACACAAAGCTAAGGATTGTTTGCAACATGCAACCGATTATTAATTTTCTACCTTGAAAAAGATCTGAGGTTTTAAAATGCCATAATTATTTCGCAGATAACAACGGTAATTATCTAATTTCAGTAAACGCCTTCAGTTGCAATTATCACCGCTGAAACTGTATCGATGATTGTAAAAGACCTGCGGGATTCGATTAAAATCCAATGCAATTTACCATATTTACTATTTATTTTTTTGGAACGTTCCTTATCGCACGTTCTAGCGGTAAGGAGCTGACCAACAAACATCAGCGTTACCAGATGAATTTCTTTTAATTTCCTAGTTTTTTCACCGAAATTTCCTTACATTTCCATAGAGATTTTCATCGCGAAAAAAGGATGTTTAAACAAGAAAAATTAATTTCGATTCAATTATTCCAATTTTCAAAATACAAGTAACTTTTAGTCAAAAGAATTCATTTGGAATAAAAATTAAATTATATTGTAAACAAGTTTTAAACCCGCATATCTTTGAAATGTACCCTCTGCAACTAAAAGTCAAAACTTTCTTCATGTGCGGGAGATGGAAAGCTATCACATTACACAGCCCTCATGAGGCTGTAGGATTCGGTTGAGTAACTTTAGAGGCACGTACAGACAAATCACACTTACTTCTATTATTTATATTAAATAAGAATACCCCTTTTCTTAGGTAGTTCTAAGTTTTCTAGGTATATGGGGAAATTTGAATACGTATAATTAATTCGATGTGATTGTTTATTAAGAATGAATTGTAAGGCAAACTACATGTACATATTTATTGAAGTTGTGCTTCTTTTTACCCGTTGAGAGTAAAATTTCTAGATGCAACGGAAGTTGCGCGGTCACAGCTAAGAAAAATTCGACATACGTCAAGTTATAGTTCGGACGTTTAAAATTGGTATAATCCTCAATAAAAGTGTCGCATTTACTTTCTTCTTTTAACTTACTAACTAGACTAGAGCGGTTGCTGACAGAACGCCTACCTTTACTCACGACAGACGTTGTAGGGAATATCGTAAACATAGAAAAGAGATGTCAGGTAGGAATTGCAGCGGTCACTAATAAAGAAAAAAGAATAACCACAGATTAATGTGTAACAGAAAGAGATGCAGACAAACAAAATTTGAACATCGAACTTTAAAGAAAGTTCAACATTCTTAGGAATTTAGGAAAGAAAAGGCGCGTGTTTAAATATATAATTCCAACCAGGAAGTTATAAAGCCGACCCTGATCTTTTGCGTACCTAAACAACCCCTGACCACTGCATCGCTTACTATAACTACAATATATAGCGTAGCTAATTTGTGCCTAGGATCAGGACAAACTTTGGTGTCGGCGCTGTTTAATGATTGGGGCGAGTTTTCAGTGTGTCAATAGGGGCAGCCCTGCACGATGATATTATTTAAATACCTAAATAAAAACATTGTTTAATTAAACACATAATTATTATGAAGTTTCAGTATAGGTACAGTGGCTAAATAACACACGTAAATAGAAGTATAACAACTTCTAACGCGTGTATGTACATAAACAAGTTTTATTAAGGTTCCGTATCTCAAAAGGAAAAAGGAACCCTTGGAGAATTATTTCGTTGTCCTTCTGTGTGCCTGTCAAGATCCTTTTTTAGGAACGCGTGGAGGTATCAAGTGGAAATTAATACCAAATACTAAGGTCTATAATCCCTTGGAGCTGTGAAAAAGTTAAGTTTTTATGTAACCGCAATCAAGAGATACGGCTGTGTGTAGCGCATAGTTTGACACTCGCAAATAAGTCACTTCCCGTGGATCCAGGATTATGAAATTTTGCAAGAAGCAATGTCTGTAGGTACTACAAATAATTTTTTAATTGTAATATCGTAATTGTACACTTTGGGGTCCAATTTTGGAGGGAAACTTAAAACGTACTCGGAACAAGTTGGGAAAATCTTGATGACTCGATTTAGGTGGCGGACGAACTTTTTACATATACCTTCAAACCTTCTCTGCGCGAGTCTGACTCGTACTTGAGCGATTTTTTTATTTTTATTAATTTTTTATACCATATTCTGGGGACAATACTCATCATCATCATCATCTATCCTCTGCTTTATATCCCTACTACTCCTTCTGTCCTGACTTCCTAGATACAGGTATTTTTGTTTTACTTTTATTTATTTTCATACAGTCCTGTTTTGTCAATACCGCTTCCATTTTATTTAAAGCTNACACACTGGGGACCAATTTTGAGGGAAAACTTAAAACGTACTCGGAAAAAGTTGGGAAAAATTCTGTCCTGACTTCCTAGATACAGGTATTTTTGTTTTACTTTTATTTATTTTCATACAGTCCTGTTTTGTCAATACCGCTTCCATTTTATTTAAAGCTATATCTAACTCCTCCTTGCTAGATGCTAATACTGCTATACCACCTGCAGATTCAAACATGTTAATTTTTTACGTTATCTCTGAGGTTGTCCTGCCATAAGAATATTATTCGCATCCTCGATATACAAATCAAAATATTGCAGTGACAATGTATATCCATGTCTAAATATCTATCCAATATTATGTGCAGTTCTCTACAGTTTATTACTATTCTTAAAACTTTTTAAAGATAAGCCTGAGCCTAATTAATGTCTAATTAATATTTACTTAATTGATTGTAATGCTTTCATATTCGATTTTATCGAAATACAATTACTGCATTAAGAATTCCTGACTTTCTTAGAACCGGAAATAACAAATAGTTGTTTATCCATTTGTAATGTTAGATACCTAATCTAAATATACTATTCAATGTTTTGTTGCATATAGGTAATGTCAGCAATTTGTTTTCTGCATAATTTTCAAAGTACGTTAATCTAATAAACTAATAGTGTGCTAGTGTAAAATAATTAAGTAGATTTTATAGATTATAGTCGAAAACCTATCCACGCTGATCCATAATATTGACAGTTAATGAATAAATTGCCATTTGCTATTATTTACCATTAGTTTTACATTAAAGGTCAACATGCAAGTAAGTAAATCTACTTTAAATGGTAAACGCATCTAGTATGGTTAATCGTAAGTTTGACTTACATAATTTTGTGTTATGTGTCTTTTAATGTTCAGCCTAAAATATTATTTAAGAAAAATCATTTTTCCTTTAAAACCAATGAAGTAAATCATCGTGAACATGCATTAGTTTTTAGTGAGAGGATTGCTTAATTTCCTGTCCGATTTTATCGTATAAAGTCATCGAATTATGAAATACTTGTTTATATTCTGGGCAGCTGATCTAGAATTGTAATTAAATTAGAATCGGTCCAATTCACTTTATCTAATTTAATCTGATTTGCATTTTTGATGCTCTTACATTTCAAAAGGAGACACTGTGATGTTGGAACAAAGGAATGAACTAGAATAATTACAAAATAAATCTATTTTATATCCCCTTGTATGTAGGGATGAGTTACAATGATAAAGGAGTGATACTTAGTTTGTATAAAGAACAACAGGCAGTTTCAGAGCTAGGGCTGCAATGTAGAGAAGTAAAAATTAGGAAGGGAGCTAAATAGGGATTCACACTGTCACCGCTACATTTTCATGTATACATTAAAGACAGTACAACTGTAGGGACAGATTCACAGGGGCAAAAGGTTAGTATTATTAGATTTGCAGATGATATAGCATTATTAGCATCTAGCAAGGAGGACTTAGAGATAGCTTTAAATAAAATGGAAGCGGTAGTAACAGATCAGTACTGTATGAAAATAAATAATAATAGTAAAA